AGTTTCTCTGTTTCTCTCTTGCAAGTGCACACACCCAATGGCAAAAACCTGAGAAAAAAAAAAAAAAGAAAAGAAAAAAGGAAGGTGAAAATGATCTTATGTGACTACTAAGACTAAGTAAAAAAAATAATACATCTTTGTTCTCTCTCTTTCTTTTAGGATCCTGGTACTTGAAACCTAGCCACCATATTGCATAGGTGTTTCCACCAGCAGCTCTAATTAAGAGGTTAGCCAACAGCCGGCATCACCTACTGGATATGTGAAAAGAGGAGCCTTTAGATAAGTCCAACCCCCAGTTTTGGGGTTGCTCAGTTTGCATCTAGTCAAGCAGCAATGAAATATTCCTGCCAAACCTTGTCCAATTGCATAAAAATGAGCAAAAGAAATGTTGTCATTGCTTTAAGCCGCTGTTTGGGGGGTGTTTTGTTATACAGCACTACATAGTTGAAGTAACCCTCCTTCACTAGAGTCATACCAAAATCCCCAATTCTATGTTTCTTTGGACATCAGTCCCAAGTGAAAGCCTGCCCCAATATTACATTCCCCTTCATGATAAAAAGCCTCTCAGCTTTTGCTTTGGACATTTCTAAGTAAAAAGCAGCTCAAAATCCTTGGCCAGGCATCACACTGTCATCTCATTTCATTCTCTCGTCCCGATGTATAGGAGCGCCAGGTAATTAAAATGCTGGACTCCCACATGGCCAACCATGGTTTGAGTCCCAGACCTGGTGATTTGTTTCTCACTTTCCTGTTCTCTCACTTTCACTGTCTTTCTGATCAAATTAAAATAATAATAATAATAATAAGTAAAAATACATGCCTTTCAAGTCATGTAAGTAGATGCCTAGGGTTGCAGGAAGGGGAGGGAAACTAGTTCATCATTTCAGAGGGACCAACCAGATTGACTCAAAATCCCTCTTTAGGTCAAACCTACTCCCACTATTTTTTATAAAACATATCTGAAAGAGAAACTATGTAAGAGGCTAAAATTTTCTTTTTTGTCACGGCAATGCCACTTGATAAGGGGTAAAATAGCCATAAAATACAAATAAAAGAGATCTTGGAGAGAGAAATTTTCTTTTCAGATATATACTTTATGAGGGTTTTAGGGCTACAATATAAGAGAAGTTAGAAATTTAGTAGCTTTAGAAAATGCTCATGCTACCAAACTAATACTTAATGACGGTGAAGTAGAAGGGTTATAGAAAAAAGCTCGTTATGACTTATAAAACTATGAAAAAGGGTGAGTTAGAGGACCCTATACCAGTCAATAGGAGAGGAGTTGAAAGAGCAGCCCACATAAGAGATCTGAAAGTGAACAATACTAAAAAATGAGTGAGACGAAAAATCAAGTAAAGAGCTATGTCATCCTTACTTTATTTTGTGGGTTCATATATGCCTTTATTCGTTTAAAGAATTATTTTATTTACTTTTACTTAATCCTTTTATTTAATCATCACACCATCTGCTGCTCCTATATATGCCCTTTAAAGTAGAGAGCTTTCAAAAAGAAAAAGAAAGAAAGAAAGAAAGAAAGAAAGAAAGAACGAAAGAAAGACAAGAAAAGAAAAGAAAGAAAAGAAAAGAAAGTACATTACAGGATAATTAATTGAGATCATTGGAATTTGAGGCAGATACAATAATTTTATAGTTTTCTTATTGTTAGTCTAATCCTACAAACATGATACGAACTGGAGAGTTGAATGTTTACATTCTAAATAAACACAAATTTGAAAAACATGTATAAATCTAATGGTATATACTATCTCATAAGTTCATTGTTACAATTTAATTTTGGATTATATGGCTTTATAAGTTGTAAAGAATTATTGTCTCATTTTAATATCTAATTTCAGCTAATAATAACTGTAGCTTTCAGTTATTTAGAATTCAGAGGAGCTAGTTGCTGTACTAACTACTGCCAGTATCTCATTTTATCCCCACAACAACTTTGAGGCACCTATTATTATTTGTTATCTCCAGACCAAAATAGATTTTAAAAACTTGCCCAGTATCACATAGCTGGTAGAATCCGGTATCTAAGGCAGGCTGTCCAATCCCCAGATTTGTATTTTGGACTCCTGCAATAAAATCCCTCTGCATACAGTCATGCGAACTGCAGCATCAAGACCTCTGTGTTTAAATGTCCTTCACACCTCAGTGTAAAGGTTAGAAGAACTACAGTTCAATCCAGTTCTGATTTTTTTCCATGCTCTCATTACCTCTCTCCCAGAAAAGAAACCAATTCTCTTTCTCCCTGCACCAACCACCACAGCCTTTTTTATCAGTAGTTTTGATTTTCTTGTATGTAGTAGAAGTCAGATATAGGACTGAGGATTTAAAAAGGATAGCAGGAAGAGAGATCCGACTATGGAAAAAGGAAGTATTATTTCATGTCTGCTCTCACTACAGCCACACTCCCTGAGACCTGCCAACCTCCACTCTTCTATTCTTCTCTCTCTCTTTCTCTCTTTCTCTCTCTCTTTCTTTCTTTCTTTCTTTCTTTCTTTCTTTCTTTCTTTCTTTCTTTCTTTCTCTTCTGTCTTAAGAAGATATTAAAAATACATCACACCAATACAATGACTCTATATTTCACTTTCCTCTTATTTAAAAGGTCAAGGTTTTGGCTTTTAGAGAAGGAAGTAATAGTAGACAAATTCCAAATATAGACACATCTAACGGGTTTGGGCAGAAAGGACATTCCAGTCGGCGAAGCATTCAGCCTCAGAATCACTGATAGCCAGCCTTCCCCTGTCAGCAGTGCCTGAGACTCGAAATTAACGTAAACATAGCTTTTGCACTTGATCAGAATGACCACAGAACCTTAATTTTGTCCTTTAGCCAGAAAAGTCATCCTTAATATGCTACATATTTTAAAGATTAAAAATTTTAAGATTTAATTTGCTCTCAGGCAACTCGTGCAGGGTGACCAATTTAATCATTGAAGTATAACTGACAATAGAAATTCACAAATAAAGGAATAGCATTAAGATTTTTAACTGACTTTGCAAGGAATGTGACCAAAATTGGATTGTTTGCAAAGAAAGTAAAGTCAATATTTCCCATGACCCTCTTCAATGTCACGTTACAACTCTTGCCATCACGAGTTGTTCATGTCCTCTTCTGTTGTCTCTGTACTGCAGTCATGACTTCTTTCACCAATAAAATGTGGCAGATGTAACTATGCTAGTCCCAGGCTCACACCACAAAAGTCCTGGTAGGGGCAGCAGGTGGCATGATGGTTAAGGACACTGGACTACTGTGGTTCAAGTCCTGGACCTGGCGGCTTGCTTTCTCATTTTCTCTCTCTCTCTTCTCCCTTTCTGGTCAAATTAAAATAAGTAAGTAAATAAATAATGTTAAATAAAGTAATTCTTTAAAAAAAAAAAAAGTCCAGGTAGATTTTGAGGTCTTCCACTTTTACTCTTGGGATTCAACCCAGCTGAGCTGGAAAACAGTTCTGACTAAATTAAAGATAATGAGAGAGCCCATGGACAGAAAGTTCCCAGCATTCAAACATCTTGCCAAGATCTCAGACATATAAATAAAGACATATGGGCCCTCCACTACAACCTAGCTGACCTCCTCAAATAAAAGAAATGAGTGATGTCAGGCAAAAGCAGTGTGAGCATTTCACGGCCAGGCCAGAGAACCATGAGACATAACAAATCATTGCTGTGAGCCGCTAACAGCGAGATGCTTTATTATCCAGCTAGAGGCAATCTATACAAGTGGGTTATATTAATCCAAAATAAGTTTGGGTCTTGTTGCCCTAGCCACCAAATACCATTTGTTAAAAGTGCTTCTCAAAGTTTAATTATGCCAAGAATATTTAGTCTCCCAAATTAATACTAATGTATGATGATAGGTCAATCAGCAACCTTGTTTAGTGTCAGACCTAAACCAAATATTAGATATTACTCTTATCAAAAGCTAATAAAGAAATAACATGTTGCCTCAGTCCATATTAATTACCTTGCCTGAAAGAATCTGTTTATTGCAATTCCTGTTTTGGCTTTGATGGAAGCTATTTTTTTTCTCTGCAACATGAATGTCAGATTTCCCCCATATCCCTCCAATGGATGAAAGGGAGACCCCTTATCCTTTCAAATCCCTTCCTAAGCCTAAAGTCTTTGACTCAAACTCCAGGGGTTTCAAAATTCAAAACTTTTAAGATAAAGCCATGTTTCTTAAGAAAGACAATAAATACTAGAGAAAAAAAGACTTGTTCTGAATCTACTTTACAGTCCACTCACATTTGAGCTGCCCGTGTCACTCACTTAAGAACTAAACATGACCTTGAGGGGTCACTGGTTCAGTGTTTTACAAATACTACTTTTAATCTGCAAATTTTTCCCCCCTTCCTTATGTTTAGTTTCCCTCGTATCAAAAATTTAAAGAATTCCGCACTTTAATAATGATTTAGTTAGGAAATATTTTATTCAGGTATTCACAATGTGGAGAGGTAGAATAGTTTCCTTTTATTCTATTTATTAATATTATTATTATTATTTGAAATGGTGTGCTGGTAACATTTTGACAACTATTTTATTGGAATAAAAATTGTGTGCATATACAAAATACCTAATTTTATTATACATGTTATTAATATAAAATATCTATAGCAGCCTATTCTTTAAAAATAACAAATTATAAGACTTATAAATTCTATGTAGCCAATTGATTTTCACAGAATGCTTCCATTATTTTTTACCCTGGTTTTTATCTGTAGTCAATTTATAGTACAATTTAACCATAATTTAGCAAATGAATCCCAATCCAGTAATTCTTTCCCAATAAATGTATAATTATTTAATGTGATATATGATCTATAATAAACAGGTTTTCATTTTTTGAACAAATTATATTCATTCAATTGAAACTTCTTTCACCTCCAGCACTAGGCATAACACATCTTTACTTTTCATTACTAACATTCCCATTATTACTTTGTTAAGTTTAAACAGTCAACAAAACAATAAATCAAATCTTTACCATACCATGTGAAGATTTCCATGATTCTTAGTCTGCTATTACATTACTAACAGAAATAACTGACACTGAGTGGTTTATAAAGTAATAGGAGGTCTACTTATTTACAGTTCTGGTGGCTGGAAGGTCCAAAGTACAGGCCTATCATCAGGCCAGCCTAAAGCATGGCTGATGCAAGCACAGAAGATGGCAGGCATGTGTAGAGAGAGATCAGCCAGCAATCATGGATTGAGGTTGGAGCTAGGACATGCTGTACCTGTTGAGACAGTATTAATCAATTCACCAGTGTACTGGTTGCCTCCATGATACAATCTCTATGATCCAATAACCATCCACTAGGCTGCACCACCTTCCAACATCAAATTCCAAAACCTGAAACATCATCTAATCCATAACATATGATATAAATGCTCTTACCATGACTAACAAGCTATCAAGGCAATCTTGTTAAATTCAGAGTTGGAAAGACATGCAGAAGCACATCATGAAACTGTATATGCACATTCAAAAATATAAATGATCTCAAAAAGTTAGCAAAGTAATTAAAAAGTGATAAGGTTTGAGCATGTATAATCTTTGCTCTTAATATAATTTATTAATTTCATTTTAATAATGACTAAGATTAACAACAATCCGTCCATAAAATATCTGAAAGTTTTGCTGTCAGATCTGTGATTGAATGTTCCATGGGGCCACACACATTGATTAAGTACAGTTGGATGAAAATTTTTAATTCTTCTTTTAACTTCTAAAGAAATAATTTCACATCAAGGTTACCTCAAACTAAAGTTAGACCTAAGCAGAAAGGAATGGAATAAGGGGGAAAAAATTAGAGAAGGAAAACTCATAGCCTTGTAAGAAGTCATGAAATTCTTTAATCTCTTACATTCTTCTTCTTTTTTTTTTTTTGAGAGATTTTTGCTGTAGGGCACGTGTGCTCACCAGAAAGACAGAGAGACAGAAAGCGAGAAATCACCCCCCAGAGGGGATGGCCACGCAGCAATCCCTTCTCCTCCATTTTCCTCTAGTGATCTTGGGCACACACGCACACGCGTCCGGCGTGAGTTTAAGCCACCAGGTCCGGGACTCAAACCACGGTCGACTACATTGGAGTCCAGCAACATAGCCATTATACTAACTGCTGGTCCCACATTCTTCTTTTTTATTCTGTTCTTTGTGGATATAAAAATAATTTTGACATATATAAAAATATGATCCATCCTAAGTTAGGTATTTATTTAGTTGCAATAGCTATAGTTCTTTAAATATTTTTAAGAAAATTTTTGAAAAAGAAAAAAATTTCTTTACATGAGAAATAAGGAAATAAAGCAATTTGAATTTAGAAAGAAGATATTTAAAAGGAAAGGAAGAAAAATGTTTAATTCTCCTTCTTTCAAACTTAAGTTGTATTCATTTCAATCTAATCCTAGCACTGGACCAGGAGTGGTCATTCTTCACAGACCTGAAGAGTCATGGCCGTATTCTTCTCTTGTTCTATTTCCACATGACAGGTGAAAACTCTCCCAATTTTTAACACCAAGCTCCAGTACAGCGTTCTAAAGAAATAAAGAACTTATTAACACATCTTGTTAATATCCCATCTGGCTGTTCAAGTATTCAGACAATGCTCTTCTGTATTTATTGTGTAGACTTACAATTCCTCATAATAGAGGACATATTCAAGATGGAATTTTCACACTTAACTTTGGCCAAGTTTCTGAGTGATAAACTGAGGACTGATTTCTTGACTTTATTCAGCTATAGGCTTTTTTTTTTTTGAACCTTCTTTAAATACAAAACACTCTCTCTGATTGAAAGTCATATAATCTTTGCCTTAATTTACTGTATTTTTGGTCTCTGTGGGTCTTTCTAGTCTCCCTTCCTATACCATAATCTTCTCAAGAGAAGGGTCAGTGCCTTATTCTTCCTAACAGCCTTCGTAAGCTTTATCACAGAGCATTACACAAATCATAATTTATGTTCTGTTAAATATTTTATAAGATCTATATTAAGCAAGGCCTGAGGACCTTGTCTTCTATTTCAGAAATGCCTAAAAGTGAAGGAAATCAGTCATTAGTTTCCTTTACATCTAGGTAAAAATAAAAAAAAAAATCAAGTAAATTATATCAAATAAGTAAATCTTGTATTTATTTAAAGAAAAAAATAGTTTTTGCTGTTTTTTGTTTGTTTGTCTGTTTGTTCTTAATTTGACAAGAAGGTAAAACTCAATGTCAGGAACCAGAAATTTGGAGCAGATAAATTACAAGTGTCAAAAACAAAATTAACAGAAAACATAAACCACCCTTAAAGAGTAAATTTTTAAAGTCTTACATGGTAAATATTATAGTTATTGAGTTTAGCAGGTATAATAAAGACTTTTATCTTTTCCCCTTCAGCTTGCATGTTTAAAAGGAAAAATGTATTTTTATATATACCTGTCTCTTAAATGAAATACTAATAATGCAAATATTAGTAGAGTACAGGCTTGAGTATCAGAGGTCTCAATAACTTGCCAGAGAGAAGGGAGGTGGGGAAGGGAGAAAGTGTCCCACAATGGGACACAGACTCACTTCCATTTGTCCATCACGTCAGGGTTTGTACTACACAGGCCTTGTGAGTTTTTTCTTTTGTTTTGTTTTTAGATTTGAGATCTGGTCTTATTTATTTGTTTCTCTTATAAAAATCTTATTTTTGACTGGATTTAGACTTAGAAGCGGAAGCTCTCAGAGAGGACAGCCTGCGTCTCTTCGCAATGTGTTCTTGGCGTTTTTCTTTAGCCTCCTTCATTCTCTAGACCAAAAGTTTAGCATATCCTGCTGCCTCTTCCTTATTTTTCTTAGTATGCTGTTTCTTGAGAGCAATACGCTGGCGTTTGTGTTGCAGGACACGGGGAGTCACAAGATGTTGAATCTTAGGTGCTTTGGTCCTGGGTTTCTCACCTTCTTTATTTAAGGGCTTTCTTACAACATAGTGGTGGACATCGTCTTCTTTAGAGAGGTTGGAAAGTTTCGAATTCTGCTAGCTGTCTTAGGCCCCAGGCAATGAGCACCGCAGTATCAGTCAGTCCTGGAATATCCTTCTCTCCTTTTTGAACAATAACCAAGTTGACAACGCTCAGATTGGCATCCACAATGTGGCCCCAGACAGATTCGCGATTTCTTTCTCCAGTTCTCCTTGGTCTGTAACAGGAACATCCCTTACTCAGTAGCAGGCAGACACCACCGTGGGTCAAGACACCCTGCTTCATGGGGAAACCTTGTCTGTCGTTTCTACCCCTGATTCGGACTACATAACCCTACCATTCTTCACCCAGAACATTGGCAGCAACTTCTGTGGTCGTTCGCTTCTCATAAAAAGTATGAAGTTTGCATTCATCATCCTCTTGCATGAGTTTCTGGCAGCCTGTAGCAGGGAAGGAGATATTCAGGTTCATCTTGAAGCAGCTGACCTCCTCTGACTCGCCATGAAAAAGAGTAGCCTTGTGAGTTTTTCAAGCTACTACAGCTAGGATTCAAACCATGGTTGTCTATATGGGATCTGTCTTCCTTAAAAACTAGTGTACAGAGCTGACCCTTGACCTGATTTTAAGAAGCTGTGGTCAAATGAAAAATATTTTCTTAATTTTTAAAATTAAAAAAACAAACAAACAAACAAATACTTCTCTGGGTGGGGAGGAACCACCAACATTTCTGTGTAATGCCAGGAGGACCTTCACTCTGCTAGTCACTTGCTCCATTTACATCTATTCTCTCATTTGCTGTTGTACATCGCACTTACCATGTTAGCTTATATTGCTGTGAGGCTTATATCCCAGTGGTCTTATAAATCCATGCCTTGACATTCTTTATGATGCCATTATACCTCAAGAAAGTAGGCATAATCTGGGTGAAACATTTTTGCAAACTAAATTTTAAATTTTAGTGTTCAAAGAATTGCTTCCTTTACCTCCTTTAGAGTTTTTTCTCTTCTCATCCTTTTCTATAGTTCATGTATTATTTCTCAGCCAAATTCTACTTTTAAAATGCTCTGAATTGGGGTCATAGTTGGTTTGATGGCTAAACTATGGATCCCACATAGCCAATTCTGTAATTTGAGTCCCAGACCCAGTGGCTTAAAAATGCTGGGCATCTATGCATGTGTGCCCCAAATCCCAACAGAATGGAGGAAAGGGAATTGTGGTGTGACCATCTTCCCTTGGGGAATTATTTTTCACTTTCTTCCTCTCTTTCTTCTCTCTCTGGTGGGCACACACACCCGATGGCAAAAATCAAAAAAAAGAAAGAAAAAAGTCCCTAATTTCCCCACTCACATCCTACATGCTCCTAATACCTAATTCATGCATTTTGATGTGTGGTCCATGATCACTCCTATAAAAGCACATACACGTTTACCGATTATATCCACCATTTCTCTTCTATCTATTCAGTCATCAGAAAAATCATGACATATTTCTGTTTTTCTATGCAAAAATGCATCATGACTTTTCTGACAACCCCATAATTTAAATTCAAACAATTCTAAATTACAAAATATTTAAAAGGAAATTTAATGCTTCTTCAAGCCTACTATATCAGAATTATTAGGTAATGAATTAGACAATTTTGCTAATACAATAACTTTGCATATCAAACTCAATGACTTACAATAAATTCATTCTTTTATCTCCCATGGGTCTTTAACTTGACTGCATCATCCCTTTTTCCAGCTGAAATTTGAATTTTCAAAATTTCCCCATGTACATTCTTTTTAACTCATTTTAGGCTCAAGAGACAGTGGCTTTTTGGGCCATGCTTTTTTTATAAGTCACAGAGACATAAGACTAAGCTCTATGGCCTCTTCAGGTCTTAGTCTGAAACCCGCACAGTGCCTTATTTATGATCATCTCATCACCAAAACTATGCATACAGCAAAGTCCAGATCAATGGGTAGGAAATACATGCCACTCACTCATGGCACTGTAAAACGATATGGCAGAAGGGCATGAAGACTGGGAAACAATCCATTCTATCATGGTTTGTCTCTCTTACTTTAGCTTCCCCCTATACACAAGAATAAACTGAGGCTCTGAAAAAGTAAATTAAAAA